GGGAATGGTTAATTTCTCCTTGTTTTAGATCCAAGGGGGTTGGATCTGTATTCACCAGGAAATTGGTGAAGGTCTCTCAAGGCTACCCAGGGGAGGAAATTAGCCTTGGGATGGTGGCAGCAGACCAGAGCTAAGCTGGTAGTTAAGCTTAGAAGTTTTCATGCAGGCCCCTACATTTGTACCCTAAAGTTCAAAGTGGGGATACAGCCTTGACAACAGCCGAGGCAACTGAGGCACAGAGAGTTGAAGTGGCTTGCCCAAGATCACCCTTTAGCACAGCCAGGCATAAAACCCAGGTCTGAGTCTTAGCTCAGTGTGCTATCCCCAGGGCCACACAAAGGGTATGTCTGAATGATACCTGGGAGCATGCTTCCTGGTATGGGTAGATAGACACATGCAACCTCTGCTTGAGCTAGTGTGCTAAAAATAACAGCTGGGTGGCGGGCTGCCTGCATATATATCCTGGGAGTCTAGTCAGGTTTGTACTCAGGTGGCTAGCCTGAGCTCAGCCCATGTTACTCCTGGCTTGGCTATGCTGCTATTTTTAGCATGCTAGCTGGAGCAGAGCTAGCCCACGTCTGTAGCCCTGCACTGGGAAGCACACAGTTGAAATCCATGCAGACTAGGGTGACCAGATGTCCCGATTTTATAGGGAAAGTCCTGATATTTGGGGCTTTTTCTTATATAGGCTTCTATTACCCCCACCCCCATCCTGATTTTTCATACTTGCTATCTCAGATTCTTTTTCTCCTTCTCTGCTGAAATCAGCTAGTCAGCTAGCTAATTAACCAACCACTCAGTTAAGTGCAAACCTCAACCCTCTGCCTCAGCCAGGAGCCCACTCCTGCACCCTGAACCCCTTTCTGGTCTCACCGCAGCTGGAGCTCCCATCCCCTCCCACGCCCCAATCCTCTGCCCTAGCCTGGAGTCCCCTCCTTCACCCCAAACCCCTCACCCCAGAGCCCACACCCTCAGCTGGAGCCCTCACTCCTCCCACACCCCAACCCCTTGCCCCGGCCCAGTGAAAATGAGCAACTCAGCGAGGATGGGGGAGAGCGAGCACTGGAGGGAGCGGAGATGGGGGGAGCAGGGCAAAGGTGTTTGGTTTTCTGCAGTTAGGAAGTTGGCAACCCTAGGTACATGTTCTTTTGTAAAGCAGCTGCCCTGACTACTTGCCCTCATGAAGTCTGAGTCTAGCAACAGGGAACCTATTGAGCATACCCAAAACTACCACACCCAATTCCAGAAACTTCCGGATGTCTAGTGCTAATTGTGCATCTGCCTAGCAACAATGAACCAGACCCAACTCATTCCTACCCCTGCCCCCCTAGATCTCATATTGGGTTCTGGGAAGTGGGCAGGCCACCTAGATCTGTTAAAGAGATCTCTCACTATTAGGTAGGTGGGCTACCCATGCAGGGGTGTCATATGGAGCAGGAGCCAGCCATCCTCAACATCATGCTTTGCCAGAGGAGGAACAGGATATTAAGTGTGTAGACAGTTTTAGCTACGGAATTCTCTTGCTTTGGGGGGCATTCAGCACATAAGTGTAAAGTTGCTGAAGTTGGGTTTTGTAATAAGGTTCAGATCACCTTTGCAGTCAGTATGTGAATTTTTATAGGGGAAGCTAGCGGAGCTGCAAGAGGTTTTGGTCCTTTTTAATTCCAATTTAAAGTAAAACTGGAGGAATGAGGATTTCCATTTGAAAAATTGAGATTTGTAGATGATTTACAGGGCCTGCTGCTTTTCTGGAAAAATAAAAACTCTTTAATCCTTGATCCATTACTTTTACTTGCAGGTTGTTTTGCCTGGCTGGTAGGAAAATCAAGAAAGCAGCACAAGATCATGCCCCCAGAAGTCACCGGAACCCCAGAATTTGACAGAATATTCCGTGCACAGTAAGTTCTAAGGTCATTAAAAGGGTGGCAATGAGAAACTTCTTATTCATTTAATTAATTGGACACTACAGAAGTCTAATTTAGCCATTCAAGTGTGAAGTGATTTTTTTTTTTAGGGCATTTCTGATCTTCTACTATGTGCTGTGAGGATAGATCTTAACTCTCAGTGACCTCTTTCTTACAAGATATGGCTGTAACAATTGTGGGCATCTCCACAGAACAGCATTTGCTAAGACTTTGCACTAACCTGAGACCTTGCATGACCAAGGGCTTCTGTCCATCACTTGTTAGTGTTTGGGTCTCCTCGTAAGAGTAATTGCATTGCACATTCATTCCATGTTCACTGGGCCAGATTCTCCCAGGTACACTGGTCTTCAACTCCTGGTTTACACTGAAAAGAGATTCAGTCATTATGTGTCTCTACAAACTATATGGAGAGGTTCCATGTACTTTTTCTTTCTAGTTTAACATACCTCAGATGACAAACTCAATATTTATTAGGCTTAGAAATCTTTGTGCTCAAATATTCAAAGGAATTTTTAATCTTCCACAACGGTATGCAAAAGCAATTTCAGTCCAGAAGAAAAGGGGATCACAGAAAGTTCCGTCAGACAATACACTATGGCTACTCAACACATATAGAGAAATGGAACAACAGATCAGAGCTATTTAATGTGAAGGTGCTGGTCAAAACTTCACACTTAAGGCTGCTTTGGGTTTATTTTAAGCAGGGTTTTGACCTTTGTTTTTAATGAAGATTACAAAATATATTCCCAAATTTATAGCATGTGTGATGAAAGACTGAATTTTCTGAGAATATACAAATAAATTGGCTAATTAGTTTGAGTTTAAAAAATTAATGAGCATTTAAGCATTAACTTGTCCTGGTGAGACACCTATTTTTGTATCCTTTTAGCTAAAAAAAATCAATAGTTGTCACAAGTACCAAACTACACACCTACATAAAAGTGTCTCAGACATAGGCCAAACCATTCAGCAATTACTGTTGAATAGAGTACACTGGATATACAGTCAACCCACTTAGTTCACTCACTGTGAAGCTTAATTAAAGCTTCAACTGTCACATCGTTTAGCTTCCAGCTTTTTATTTAGGTTTGGTTGGTTTAACATAGAAACTGTCATACTGGATCTATCTGGTGGTTCATCTAGTCAAGGAACTTTTCTCAGAGTGGCGAATACCAGATGCATCAAGGGAAGGTGATCCAAAGTGGATCAGTGGACAATTGTGGAATAACCTGCCCACGGTGGGAATGTTTTCCCAGAGCAGTGGTTCTCAAACTTTTTCTTCGCGGACCGCTTGAAAATTGCTGTTGTTTGTACTATTAGCTAACTATTGTAAAGCACTTTGGATAAAAGCACTATATTAAAACAAAACAAAACACATTTTTTGTTCTACAAATAAAAGCTCACAACTCATTTTAATATCAGTAGTCTTACCTTTCTATGTGATGGATGTGCCCTCTCCCCCCCCCCCCCGCTGTGGCAGCCCCCAAGCTGGGGCTGAGAAGGAGGGGAGGGGGGTCTTTCCCCAGCAGCTGCAGTCCTGGAGCTGGGGAAAGTCACCACTTTCTCTGGCTGCCACAGCCCTGCACATCCCAATTTCCCCCACCCCACTGCCCCCTCCCACCTATCCCCTATTACCTCCAAGGCCACCATCTCACCTTACATGAGGGTCTTCTCCAGGGTCCAGGCACCTAATTAGTGTAGCCACGCCTGCACGGCTCCACTAATTAGGTAGATGGCCCTTCATTCTCTTATGTGCAGCCACCCAGGCACGCACCTAAGAGGGAACTATCTGTGGACCATCTGAATGGACCTTGCAGACCACCACAGTCAGAGAACCTCTGTCCTAGACCATTTCATTTAGTGATTGGCTTATGCCCTGAAGTGTGACATTTTATGTGCAATGTAAGGATTATTTTAAAGCGATCCTCTCTAATGTAACTAACATTACTGGATAATAAAAATATCCAGTTATAGAAAGTTGCCTTAAATAAAAAAGAAATACTAAAATTTTGAATATGAGTAAAGGAAAAGAAAAAAACAAAGTGGTATCAGGTACAACTTTTAAAGTTGTGTTTTCAGGCCATTACTGTTGTAATCATTTAGAAGTTCTATCATGTGCTTGTCATGCTTGATACTATAGCCATAGGGATATTCAGACCAAGGCCTATTATTTCAGTCACAATGATAGGAACAGAACTGTACATATTTGTAAAGAGACAAGAGTGAGATTTTTCAAAAGTGCTCATTATTGACCAACCTCTGCTCCCATCAAAGCCAATGGCATGGACTTCACTGGGAACAGCATTTGGCCAAAGCTGAGAGCTTTTGAAACTCCCACCCATTTTTTTTCTTGCTCAGGTAACCTATTAATTTATTCCATAGACAAAACTGTGTTGAGTTTTATCCAATCTTCCTGGTTGCTCTCTGGATTGCAGGCTGTTTTTTCAATCAAGGTAAATACAATTGTTGTTTTATTTTGGCCTAAACAATGTTTTATCAGCTATAATATTTTCCTTTGTACCCTGAGGTTAATTCAATGTCCTTTTATTGGCTTTAAATGTGTTACCTCTTTATGTCACTGAGTGCCCCTTGTTCTTGTGTTATGAGGAAGAGTAAATAGGCTCTGGAATGGTCTTGGTATTTTACATGTCTCTGTTCTACCAGCTTTTACTCATTGCAAACTAAGGATGCGAACCTTGATGTATTTACCATCGACTTCTTTAGGCCAGACCAATATGTGAGAACTTCCCAGTAGGAACCCAAAATATGCATCCAAGGGCAAAAATTTAGCATAAATAGTCTTTTCTCTTTTTCACATACGTAATCCCCTCCTAACACATAATGCCACTAGTAAGTATGGTAAATTATTATTAATATTTCAAAGGAGTGTTCAGAAGGTAAATTTGTTAATCTGTATAAAAACCTGTGTTGTACATTGTTAATGAGAACAATAGTTTTCATTATGCTTCTCCAGAGAGAAAATAAGCCTCCTCCACATAGTCAAATGCACTCCCCCTACACCAGAAAGGTAAAACACTCTCTCCCTTTTTCAGTATTTAAGCTCATTTTCTCCATTCATTTCAGAAAGTAAAGTTCTCATTTCCCCCTCCAGCTGAGAACCTGATTCTGATGGGGTTGCTCACCACCAGGATGGCACCTCCTTTTGGTCGTTCTGGGGAAGAGCATGCGAGGTTGACACCTCTTCCCATGGTTGCATGCAGTCCTCCGCCTCTCTCTGGGTCTGCATCCCGCTTTCACTTCATGAGCTGCTGCTGCCTCTTTGGCATCCCGGAAGGGGGAACACATGGAATGATTGTAACTCAGCCCTACAGCTAAAGTCTTCCTTCAGCAGTTCTAGATAGTCTACTCATTCATGCCTTGTAGTGCCATTCCCCGCATCTGGCAGGGGAACATGGGCCTGCCCTCTACTCCAAGTTCCTGGTTTCCCCCTTTTCCTGGTTTGCCAGCCCAAAGACACCTCTCTTCTCTCAGGGAGTGACTGCAGACTTTCCCAGCAGCCCCCTTCTACTGCCAATTTTCTGCCTTTATAGTCTCAACCCAGCTCATTCCTCCTCAGCTGGGCGTCTTTATTCAGTCAGAGGATTGCTTAGCCACCTCATTCCTCTCCATTGAAGGCTGTTAGATTAATTAGCCCCATTTTCAGCCTGCATTAAGGCTTTCAGAGAAAGTGTGGGATGAACAGCCATCACACTGATACATGGAATGATTCTTGTAATAGGAAATGCAATGTGATTCTGACTCATCCCCCAATTGTTCTCCTACAAATACAACAGGATCAGGGAAGTAAAATCTGCTGCAAGGGGAAAAATAGATATATAGAGATATATAGATATAAGAGCGAGGGGAATTACAGTGGTGTGAATGAAAACTAGATGTGCCTGGTTCTTACCCTCTGATGTCTGCTGGACAAAGTCAGACCACAATTAATTTATTTATGTATATATAAATAAAATCATAGGCACAAGGGGTTGCACAGGCAATTCTTAACTTTTGAGTACTTGACTTAACATTATGGTAGTGAAGTCAAGCACTCAAAAAAGTTAAGAAATGCTAGAAATAAGGTTGCCTGTGCAACCCCTTGTGCCTATGCATTATGATGCAGTCTTTCATGATATCATCACACACTCATTTTCCCACACGACCCCCTGCCTCATTCAGTGCACGGACTGGATGATGCTCACTTATTGATCAGGTATTCAATATTTTGTTTTCTCCTCACTGTTAAAGGTGTGCCTCAACTCTAGTGTGTGCCTAGTGTGGACAGCATCTTCAGTGAATTTAGCTGCTAAAATCTAAGGAATCTCTGCAGAGCATATATGAACTTCAGTTTTTCAAGGGCTTATTATATGGCCAGATACTAGTAGATTTTCACAAGTATGGCAAAAGGCACATCCCTGGTACAAAAGCCACCCCCACAATGCCAAATTTTATGTCATTGCTTGAAAGCATGGAGTGTGCTAGACATTATTAAAGAAAAAGTCACCAGAATTTTTTTAGCATCAGCAAAACATATTTATGCCTAGCCTTATTCTTGGAAACAACCACCATTTTGGCTGAAAATTTCCTCAAAAAGTTCTGTCAGAGACAAACACTTGACAGAGAAAATTTTAGCCCAAATGTTTAAGTTGGTCATAGTTGTAAGCAACCAAAAATAGAGCCATATAATAGGAAGTGTCGGGCAACCTTAATAATAGGATGTGATATCAATCTTGCCTGTAACAGATACAGTTTTAAAAATCAGATTGAAAAGCTCTAGACTAGAAGGGCCTCACAGAATTTAGGGTTAAAGTCCATTTTGACAGCCTAAGTGAAATGGGATTATTGATGCCCACTTTATCTCTGGGGAGACAGAGCCACCACATGCCATCTGGTAACTTTTGCTCAAGAGATCCAAAACTGAGTGCATTAAGGCAGCCAAGCTTGTCAGAACGCATACTTGAATATGATAATAGCTACAATCATACTTTGCCTTGTATGGTGCCTTGCATCAAAAGATCTCAAAGCACTATACAAACAGGAAGCCCCACACCTCCCCTGTGAGGCAGAAAAATATTAACCCTGTTTCACAGCCTGGGAAACAGGGGCCCAAACTGCTCATGGCTTGACCTTGACTTCAGTGGGATTGTGAATGTTTGCCATTCTAAGGCCATGTCTACACTCGAAAAGTTGTGCAACAGCATGAGCGCTATTGTAGATGTGGCCTACACATGCTCAGGCATTTTCAGCACTGTGTCATGAAAAATCTATTTGGGTTTTTGCAGATCTTCAGATTTACTCTGTGGTTAAAGTAGATTGAAACAAGAGTGGGAACTCTGCCTGTACCAGCTGAGGAGGAGAAGGGGAGCAAGCCAGGGAGAGAAGGAGAACCCCCTTTTTCTTTTAGCAGAAGAGGGAGGGCTGCACCCCTTCTTACTTTAACCCCTGTATTTAACACTGCTGAGAACAGGGAGTTGAAAAGACCCTGTCTACATTAGCACTTACAACAGTATTGTCAGCACAGGGGAAACTGCACCAGTGCTGGAAAGGGGGATTCAGAATTGGAACTGAGCAAATAATTGATTTTTCAGTTTGGTGATCAAAACAGAAATTCAAGGAGAAAAAACTTGTTTTGTGTCAAAACATTTTCTTCCAACCTGAAATGAATGTTTTCCCTTCATTTTAAAAAGTGTTTCATATTCAGGTTTCTTTTACCCTCCCCCCCTCTTAAAAAAATACATCCAGCTAACTTTTGACACCATCTTTTGAAACAAAAACATGTAAATGTTTAAATTTAGAAAATGTTTAAACAAAAATTGACTTTGAGATTTTTTTGGGGGGGGGGAGGAAGGGGGAGAACTATTCTTCAGATTCGACCCAAATTTACATTGTTTTGGTTAACCCAAAGCCGCATTTTTGGGGGGCAAATAAACAATCTGAAAAATTTTGCCCACTTCTATTCAGAATGTGTTCATGTGGGCCAGGCTCATAGACTCATAGACTTTAAGGTCAGAAGGGACCATTATGATCATCTGGTCTGACCCCCTGCATGCTGCAGGCCACAAAACCGTCCCTACCCTTCCCTTGACTCTGCTGATGAAGTCCCCAAATCCTGTGTCTTGGTGACTTCAATTGGCAGAGAACCCTCCTGCTAGTGATCCCTGCCCCATGCTGTGGAGGAAGGCG